GGTTTAATCGCACTGTTAAACAATAGAATACCAATTGAAATGAATTAAGTATTTTGGATGTTTTTCTAATTTTCAAATATATTGTAGTCTGTGTTGTAATTGAAATCAAAGTGTATATTACTTTTGATTACAAATATTTGCACTGTAAAAATGATAAAAGAAATTGTATTTTTCAACCGACCTCATGCAAGTACTGTAGTGAAATCTTTGTCATGAAAGTGCAACTTACAAATGTAGATTTTGTTGTCGTTGCATAACTGCCCTCAAAAACAAAACAATGTAAAACTTCAGAGCCTATAAGTCCACTCAGTCCTTCTTCTTGTTCAGCCAATCACTAAGACAAACAAGTTTGTTTACATTTACAGGAGATAATGCTGCCTGCTTCTTAATTACAGTGTCGCCAGAAAGTAAGAACAGGCATTTGCATGGCACTTTTGTAGCCAGCATTGCAAGGTATTTACGTGCCAGATATGCTAAACATTTGTATGCCCCTTCATGCTTCGGCCGCCATTACAGAGGACATGCTTCCATGCTGATGACACTCATTAAAAAAATAATGCGTTAATTAAATTTGTGACTGAACTGCTTGGGGGGAAAATTGTATGTCCCCTGCTCTGTTTTACCCACATTCTGACATATATTTCTTGTTATAGAAGTCTCGGATGATGACCCAGCACATGTTGTTCATTTTAAGAACACTTTCACTGCAGATCTGACAAAACGCAAAAAAGGTACCAATGTGAGATTTCTAATGATAGCTACAGCACTGAACCCAAGGTTTAAGAATCTGAAATGCCTTTCAAAATCTGAGAGGAACAAGGTGTCGAGCATGTTTTCAGAAGTCTTAAAAGAGCAACACTGATGCAGAAACTACAGAACCCGAACCACCAAAAAAGAAAACCAACCTTCTGCTGGAGGCATCTGACTGAGATAATGAAAATGAACATGCGTCGGTCTTCACTGCTTTGGATTGTTATCGAGCAGAACCCATCATCAGCATGGATGCGTGTTCATATGAATCTTTAGCACATCTGGCATGTAAATATCTTGTGACACCAGCTACAGCAATGCCATGAGAACACCTGTTCTCACTTTCAGGTGACACTGTAAACAAGAAGCGGGCATCATCAGCATGGACGCATGTTCCATGGAATGGTGGTTGAAGCATGAAGGGACATATGAATCTTTAGCACATCTGCCATGTAAATATCTTGACGCCAGCTACAGCAGTGGCATGAGAACACCTGTTCTCACTTTCAGATGACATTGTAAACAAGAAGCGGGCAGCATTATCTCCTGCAAATACAAACAAGTTTGTTTATCTGAGTGATTGGCTGAACAAGAAGTAGGACTGAGTGGACTTGCAGGCTCTAAAATTTTACATTGTTTTATTTTTAATGCAGTTTTTTGTACATAATTCTACATTTGTAAGTTCAACTTCCATGATAAAGAGATTGCACTACAGTACTTGTATTAGGTGAACTGAAAAATACAATTTATTTTGTTTTTTACAGTGCAAACACTTGTAATCAAAAATAAATAAAAAGTGAGCATTGCACACTTTGTATTCTGTGTTGTAATTGAAATCAATATATTTGAAAATGTAGAAAATATCCAAAAATATTTAAATAAATGGTATTCTCTTATTGTTTAACAGTGCAATTAATCACGATTAATTTTTTAATCGCTTGACAGCCCTAATGTAAACAAATCATAATGACTCCATTCCCATAAATGTTTTTAACTATATTACACAGAAGAGGCATAGAACATCTGGGAGTGAGCAAGTAGCAGAGACATATGAAGTGAACTGAATAAAGTATCAGTGGAAAAGAGTATAAAGGTATTAGAAATAAGAAAGAAAGGAAGGGATGAAGACAAAATTAACAACAGGGGATGAGGATAGGGAAAGAAGACACCCCGTGAAAATGCTCCAAAGACCACTGAATTTAATGGAAGCCACTGACTGTGTGGGCATTGAATCACACCCAGGGAGGGGCGATAAACAGGAAGAGAGACATCACAATGGTGATGAAGAAGAATAAAGACAATTTGATGGGGTACTGTTGGGGGGGCTACTCAGTGGAAGATATAGCGGTGTTGCTGTGGAGAGATTAGTTACATTAAACCAGCGGTTCCCATCACGATCAAAGCTCTGTTCTCCTTTATAATCATCTTGAAAATGTCAAGAGGTTTTTAGGGCTAGAAAAGTCATCCATTTTCATTTATTAAGCAGAATTTTAGTATACCAGAGGGACTATAAATAGATTCAGTATGTGGCTATGATCACCATAACAGAAAGAAAGTGCAAATATTCTACAACAGATTTTTGCCCTAAATGAATATAATGAATAAAGCAATAGGATATCAAACCTGCTCAGTTTAGACTGCCCATAACTGATTATTGCCTTTGGGTATTATTGTGTTCTGGCTGTCTACAGATATTCATTTGTTACCTCAGATTTTAAAAAAGCACTTTTAGCCTGTTAAAATGTAGGTCTTTCATAAAACAAGATGTATACTGAAGATTTAAACACAAAGTGGAAACAACTCCAAGTTTTGTATTTCATTGCTCAAGAAATTGTGGTTTGGTTGATAACTGAAATGACAGTAATTAGCTGTGAGATTTTCTAATCTTACTATGAAGGCAAAACACTAAATCCTTGAAAAGGCTAACTGTTGAAGGAGGACAAAATATAAAAGTCCCAAGGGAAAAAAAGAATTAGAACAAGATTAGAGTTGATCTATGCATATCTCTAAAGAAAGGCCAGCAGAGAAGGATTGAGTTTGTAATTTCAAACTATTCTCATTACTATCAAGGTGTCTAGATGTCGTCACTAGTGCTGAGCAGAAAATGAAAGGCAAGAAATGAAGTGGTTTAATGTTAAAAAAGAAGAAAACTAAGAAACGTGCAATTGCATGGGAGGCCCCCACTCTTAAGGTCCCAATAGGCAGTAAGAAAGAGCACCAGCGTAACTGATTAAGGTGGTACAGATAATTGAAGATGTAATCATGACTCAAGGGACAGGGAAGTGTCATTTATATGAAAATCTGAATTCCGCTAATTAAAGCTATACAAAACCTTTCTATATACCAGCATTATAGAAATGTGATTATATCTGGTATAACAAAATGGGAATAAAGGAAGAGAAAAGAAACCATCAATGTAGTGGAATATTTTCATAAGGTGACTAGAAATATGGGATTCTTAATTGTAACTTTGCAAAAGACCCTTGAAAAATTATAGTGTGCAATAGTTGTGATTCAGCCACTAAAGAACAATAACTGCAAAATGTCTGTCATGGCCAGAGATAGATGGTGGTAAAAGGAAAATCATCCACAAAAGGAAAAACTGGAAGCTTCAGCCTCCTCTTGCTTATATCAGATTAAAAATCAGGATGGACTGTACTGATGTCAGTGGAATATTACTACTGTAAAACTGGCATAAGTGAAAGGTGAATCAGGCCTTGCAATTTTCTTGCATTTTTGAAAATGTACTTTAAATGTATACTTATGCTGATGCCAAGATTTTTCTACCATGCCATTCTAAAAAGCCCTGCCTATTCTTAGCATCAGCAGTTAGCAGCAAGAGAAACCTGAGACTTTCCAAATGCCAATTCAAAACTGAGGGAAATGATAATATAGTATTTGCATAGTTGCTAATATAATTATAAAAGAAAAACATAAAATCAATTTATTCCAGCAGTTCCATTGCTTTCAGTGAAATCTGCATCAGGATAATGTAAAGTAAGTCCATGAGAGGGGGGTGGAGAAGGAGAAATTAAACAAATCAAAGTGATAGAATGGGAAAGAACACTAAGTATGAAGGAAAAGAGTTAAAAATAATGGCATGACAACTTTAGTATGAGACACAGTTATATGCAAGGCCTTGAGTTTTCCAATTGTATACTAGGTGAAAAAATGGTGGTGTTCTCATATAAAATTCAAATGCTAGAAGTTTGCAAAATCCATCTTTTTAATCACTGAATTTCTAACTTCAGCAGATCCACACAAAAAAATTAGTATATTTAAAATATACAATGCAGGTGATTTTTTTTTATCCATTTACAATTAAACTGAAACAACACCACTCCAATAAACACAGAAAAACAGTTCAGAACACTGAATTACAGGGTTTTTTTTATGTAAGAGATTTGTTGACTATGATTATGTTAGTTTTAAAGATAACTTGGTAATAGTTATTTTAGAAGTAAGACCTACACTCCACATATGGATCTTTCAAGTATGTCCTTCATTTAAAAAAAAACAAAACTAAATGTGTTATTCAACTCAGCAAAGTTTTAACTAAAACTTGACTGTAAATAAATCAATTCAATGTATAAGCTGATTTCTTTATTTGGAGTGACTTCAGCTTACGCTATGACTATTTGAAAGGCTCCTTTCAACTGCTGCTATTGCTTGGGCTAGAGACTTAAATAAAGCCAGCAAAAGTGATGCAAAAATGTTTAATAAAAACAACGGATGCAATTAACAATTATTATTCTGGTTACTGCTAAACTGACTTCACCTTTAATGAGTGTTTAAGAGATGCACACAAGCATATAGGTAAGACTGTTACATTTGTGGATTATGTTAACCAACAAGATTGTGATCCATTTTATGTGAATGAAACCAAGTTGAGACTTTTTTAGGAATTTTTCTTGGCCTGCTTTCTATTAAAAAAGGCCATATTCCTTTCCCATTGTTTAACATGATGCTTACTGGCTTTAATGGTGCTGACACATGAGGAACAAAGAAAAAGCACAACATACACTTGGGAAAATGACACGGTGAGGTATCTGATGAGAAACCCCAAAATGCAGTTGTAGAAGCTGTTGGGTATGTGTGATAATAATTTATTACAAAGAGGGTGTGTGCTGATAACCCATAACACGGACACACACACCCTATTGCTTCTACTCTTTACATATCTAAAAGCAAGTATCAAACATGGTATTCTTTGAGAGCTAAAACATATTATAACCATTTTTTATTCTTACCTGTAGCAGGGCTGCAAACAAATATACTGCTATAAAAATTGGAGTCAAAGAGGTATGACCACTTTTCATTAAATGGATGGTGTACAAGAAAATTAAATGCCCAGGAATCACCAAAAGGAGAAGAACTTGGGCTGATTTGTTATTTACTCCTGTAATACAAAAATAAAAATAAAAATGCCGTTTATCCCTTTGAAAGCTGGAAAATATTTTTATCAATAATATAAGGGGTGCAAATTGTACCCTTCTGGGAGGGCATGCATGACTTTCACCATCAAATTCCCTCAGAGTTTCTTCTATGTTTAGTGTCTGCCAGGGGATCAACAGGACTGCTGACGGTCTGCTCTGAATCAGACCATCCCCTGGCCACCTTGACTGGGTTCCTTACCTAAACATTACCACCCACTTTAAATTGCAGTAGGCCCCTATATATTCCCTCAGGAGAGGGAAGTTTTGGCCACCCTTACCTTCTACATAAGTCCCTCAGAGGGCTTTTTATATTGCTAAGCAGTAACTTCACATTCACCTATTTTTTATTTATTAGTTAGAGTACATTTAATAAATATCAAAGAGCAACAGAAGCTTCTCAAAAATCAACTCTTGCCAAAAGCTATCACACATTTACAAATGGTACCTTCTGTTCTAAATTTAAGGAAAAACTGTGGAAGTCAGAGCAACTATTGTGTGGCATGATGATAACAACTTGACTGGAAACTTCCCATTCAAGTATTATCACATGGATGGAATAAAACCATTATGACTTAGGCTAACAAGGTGAAGCAGGAAATAAAAAGTTCTTGGCATCTGGGTAAAGTTTCAGCTACAACACTATCTGCTGGTTTATAGAACAGCACTAGATAGCTGAAGGATACTTTTCCCAATTAGTAGTAAAGAGGGTGGAGAGAGTCGGGAAACAAAACAAGTTCTGGGAGAAGCAAGTCTTTTGCCTTAATACGATTCAACTCCTACAGGATAGGCTGACATATTACAGAATTTACACTTGAATGAATGAAATTCCTTATTAGCCAAGCAAAGCGAGACTCTACACTCAACTTGATGGCATTTCTTTGCTTCTCTGTATGTAAGGTAATAATGTTGGAACACCACATCTGATCATTTCCAAAATTTCAGGGAGTGGAGAGAACCGTACTGATTTTGGGAGGAAACTGGAAAACCAGAAAATCTCAGTTTAGAGGAAAGTCAGACTACCTGGTGCTGCAGGCAATGGAATCTCTGCTGCTGCCTACACAAATCAGAGGCAGCAGCATAACTTGCTGTATGGGGAGACTGAGTAGCTAGGAGGCTAACAGACATGAAAGCCTGGAAGATAGGGTTTTTTGGGGGGTAAGGAGGGAAGGTGGGGACTAGGGCATGGAGGGGGAAGCAGACACCTGAAGGCAAGTGGGTGGGTGATAAAGTGGAGTTGGGAATGGGAGGAAAGCAGGCATTCTGGAGGGGTGTGTTGGAGGGAAGCAGTGGTCGTGGTGAGGAAGCAGGGATTGGGAGGTGGGAGTGGTGGTGGTGATGAAGAAGCAAGGACCCAGAGAAGGGGGTGAGGTCCAAGAGAGTCAGTGGGTGGGCTTGGGAGGGGAAAGCAGAGACTATTTATAATGAACCCAGTATTTAATCAGCACACTCTCCACAAATACTGGAAAGAGAAGGACAATGTGTGCATGTGTGTTGACTCCAGGGCCAGTTCCAGGCACCAGCAAAACAAGCAGGTGCTTGGGGCGGCACATTTCTAGGGGCGGCATTCTGGCGCCGGCCATCATAGGCGCCAACTCCAGGGCATGGGGGAAAAGGGCCCCCGCCGCCCCAGCTTGCCACCCCAGCTCGCCTTCTCTCCGCCTCCGCCTGCTCCCGAGCGTGCCGCTGCCACTCTGCTTCTCCCTCCTCCCTCCCAGGCTCGCCGCGCACTACACAGCTGTTTCGCGCAGCAAGGCTGGGAGGGAGGAGAAGCCGAGCGGCGGTGCGCTCGGGGGAGGCGGCAGGGGTGAGCTGGAGCGGGGAGTGGTTCCTCTACCCCCCCATTACTTCCTGCGCCCCCCCACTCTAGCTCACCTCCGCTCCGCCTGCTCCCCTGAACACGCCGCTGCTCCACTTCTCCGCCCTCCCTCGCCTGGCGGCACGCCCGGGGAAGCAGGTAGAGCGGAGGTGAGCTAGGACGGGAGGTCGAGGGGGGCCCGCAGGAAGCAATGGGGGGGGAATGCAGCACGCCGGGGAAGGAGGCGGGGGTGGGGATTTGGGGAAGGGGTTTGGAAGGGGTGGAGTTGGGGCGGGGCAGGGGGACATGAAAAAAAAGGGGGGGGCGGCCAAAATTTTTTTTGCTTGGGGCGGCAAAAATCCTAGAGCCAGCCCTAGTTGACTCCTAGCCAGGACTTGACAGAGAGGATAAACGGGGTGTTGGTGGAGAACGGGAGTGAACTTCTGAGGTTGGATGGGAGAGATAAGTTCATAGAATCATAGAATATCAGGGTTGGAAGGGACCTCCGGAGGTCATTTAGTCCATCCCCCTGCTCAAAGCAAGCCCAATCCCCAACTAAATCATCCCAGCCAGGGCTTTGTCAAGCCTGACCTTAAAAACCTCTAAGGAAGGAGATTCCACCACCTCCCTCGGTAACCCATTCCAGTGCTTCACCACCCTCCTAGTGAAAAAGTTTTCCCTAATATCCAACCTAAACCTCCCACACTGTAACTTGAGACCATTACTCCTTGTCCTGTCATCTGGTACCACTGAGAACAGTCTAGATCCATCCTCTTTGGAACCCCCTTTCAGATAGTTGAAAGCAGCTATCAAATCCCCCCTCATTCATTTCTTCTGCAGACTAAACAATCCCAGTTCTCTCAGCCTCTCCTCATAAGTCGTGTGCTCCAGACCCCTAATTATTTTTGTTGCTCTCCGCTGGACTCTTTCCAATTTTTCCACATCCTTCTTGTAGTGTGGGGCCCAAAACTGGACACAGTACTCCAGATGAGGCCTCACCAATGTCAAATAGAGGGGACTGATCATGTCCCTCGATCTGCTGGCAATGCCCCTATTTATACAGCCCAAAATGCCGTTAGCCTTCTTGGCAACAAGGGCACACTGTTGACTCATATCCAGCTTCTCGTCCACTGTAACCCCTAGGTCCTTTTCTGCAGATTAACTTCTGCAGAAGTTAATGAGTTACTGGAGGATAAAAGGACAAAGCAGCATTGAGTGCAGCCGTTTGGGGAGTATCTGTAACCCTTCCTGACTTCCATCTCTGTCCCTCAGTCCCTATTACACTTCTCCCACTCAAGCCCTATAAACAACCTCCTTACTGCCCAATTGTTGCAGATAGAGGAATCTTTCATTACTGTCTACCTATCACAGCAACAGCTGAATATGGTGCCCACATTCACTGGGTGTACAGGTCGGTCTACAGAAGCAAAAAAGAGTGCAAAAAGCAAAAAATCTAGTTGCAACAATTAACAACCACCAATACATACCTGTACCATAATAGGTTCTGCATGGGTAATAGCAACCCTTTGCTTCTTCTGGCAACTCTCCAGGAATGCTATGTAAATGGAGATAGGTAGAAATTCTGCTAGCTTGAATTGCCACTAAATTACCACCAATACCTGAAACAGAAAAAGAAATGACATCTTTCACTGATTCTTCTCAGACAGATAACAATTTATCAAACTTATCAACTATTATTACGCCCATCACACAGAGTACAAAGGTCAAAAGGTGAAAACATCTTCACCATGGAAATTTATTATTCTGCTTCTACTCAGGCCAACACTAAACACAATGTGACTGGAAGACTCAAAATAAAATTGAACTCAGCTCTTGCCCAGATTTGATTTGCATAGATTCATAGATTTTTAAGGCCAGAAGGGACCAATATGATCATCTAGTCTGACCTCTTGTACAACATAGGCCATAGAACCTCAGCCAGTAATTCCTATATCAAGCCCATAACTTCAGTTTAAGCTATAGCACATCTCTTTAAAAAGATATCCAGTCTTCATTTAAAGACTAAAATTGCTTTTGGAACCAATGCAAGAGAGCCATGATACCCTTAGAAGCATGAAGAGGACTGCATGCTGGTGAGGCAGTTTAATGGTTGCAGAATTCTATGGTCAGAGAATTCTTAATATTCATCTGCTGGAGGGCTGGATTCAAGAATTTTAGATCTATCATCTTAATAATTGTCTTTGGAGAGCAGGTATAGGTAAATAGAGAACTTTTCACCTGTTTTTATATTATCCATCTTTATATTAATTTTTTCCAAATTATCTAATTTTTCATCACTTTTTCCCTTAAGGAATAAAAGTTTGATTATTATAAATATATTCATGTATTGGACAATAGAGTAGAATGTACCACTTTAAACCATCAAAGATCACTCCACTCAGGATAATAACTAAAAAATGAGGGAGGGGGCAGAGAGTTTGATTCCAACGCTGGCAGCTGACGAGAGTGGTATTTATTGTGGAGACTCTGGACAATAGTTAAAGAGCTAAGGACACCATAAAGGGAAAAATATGAGAAAAACCTCTTGTCTTCAAAAAACACAATCTAATCTAGGACCACACACACCAAAGGTCTTAAGCATAATCAGATGGTTACCGCACAGCTTTGCTACTGGGCAGGAATTAAGGTTGTTTGGCTGCATTAACTGTGCATATCCATACTTTAACATGTTTGGAATTCTTTTAATTGAAATCTTAATGCTGAATTTCCAGTACTTGGTTTAGAGATGAAGACAACATCTCTACATTTTTTCATCCTTAAGTTATAAGTTCTTTCAGACTTAACACTATTTTAATGTAGTTATTTTTGTCTTGGAATACTGTCAGGATATCAGTACTGAACCTAGACTCTTGAGGTCCTTAAGCAGCATACTAAGCTGCTGAACCATGACAGAGCACTTAACTACTGCCCTGGACCAACAGCCTTAGTGCTAAAGGCCTACAGAGCTACAGCAACCAAACCCCAGGCCTCTGATTGGATGGACAGGCAGCACTCTCATTGGGAGCCTGGATTATACAAAGGCCCCAAGAGGAAGCTGTCTGAACAACAAACCATTGCCTGCTCACTGCTGCCTAGATTGCCTCACCTGATCCTGCCTTGTTGCCTCACCCTACCTTGTCTGACGCCACTTTGTTGCCATGCTGCCTTGCCCTACCTCACCTCCCTAACCTGCTAACCCAGTCCCTTGGATTGGATCTTCCAGTTACTGACCCCTGTGAGAACTCCAGCCATTGCCCCAGACTGCCCCTGATACCAATCAACCTCTTGGCTAACCGACCACCCGCACACACTTAACTTCTTTGGACTGGCCCATGGCTGGCCTCTGTAAGATTATTCTGAACTTAATTTTATTATTAGCATTTTGCCAAAATATTTTAAAATAGAACACATTTGAAGTTAAGCCACTATATATATGAATAGTGTACAGTGTATATCTATTGGCAGTATAAAGCAAAGTAGCTGCACCATACCAGTATAATGCCACATTTCTATGAAACAATTCTGGTGTTAATAAACCACAAGAGCATAGCCTCAAAATGGTAAATAGTTTTTTTTAAAGACGTATTCTGAAATAAATCTATAGAAATAAGAGTAATAGGAAAGAAAATGACTTCTTCTGAAATTAAAGAGCCTCAAAATGCTTGGATAGCATTCAAAACTAAGATATTTCTTTGAAGCTCTAGATTCAAATAATAGTTTGTAAGCGAACAACAAAAAATGTAGATAATGTTCACAACTCTGATAGGAAGATAGATGTTATGTCAGCATAGAGATAGAAGGGACAAGACTCAACAGAAAACTGAGCTGTAATTAGTCAGTCAGAAATGTTCTTATTTCCCCAATTCCAAATTTCTGTTAATGGGATTCCACAAGGATACATCCAAAGAGAGGGTAGGGGTTTTTTGTTTTGTTTTTCAATCAGGCTATTACTGCTGAATCCACTTTGAAGGAGACAAACTATTTCTTTAGGAAATCTATAGAGCTTCTGAGCAGATTTAGGAGTTTGATCTCTAGAGTTAAGCCAGTTCCATAATCTGCTGAGCAGAGGAGTGAATAAGCAAAGTTATTCCCTTGTCTGCCCTCATCCAGGAACAGTCTACCTCATCATTGATATACAATGCTACTCCACCACCCTTGCTTTTATTTCTGTCTTTACTAAACAGCACATACCGTTCAATACCTGTACTCCAGTCATGACTACTATTCCACCATGTTTCTGTTATCCCTATAATATCCGGTTTCACTTTCTGCACCAGTAGCTCTAGTTCCTCCATTTTGTTACTTAGGCTCCTTGCATTAGTGTACAAACATCTTAATTTTTGCCGTTTGGCTTCACTGACATTCTTTACCCAATTAGGCACAGACATTCTACCACCAATATTACATATTAGACCGGTATCTACACTACCCTTCCTCTTTATGTCCATTTTCATACCCACAGCTGTATCCTTTCTTACTTCGTTTTCTTCCCTCTCAATGTTAAATTCCGGCGTGGAGATTACCTGGACATCCCCCAACCATCTCCCCCAAATTCCTAGTTTAAAGCTCTATTAATCAGTTATGCCAGCCTCCATCCTAGAAGTCTATTTCCCTCCTTACTCAGGTGAAGTCCATCCCGAGAGAACAATCCTCTGTCCATGAATGGCTCCCAGTGGCCATACATCCCAAAGCCCTCCTTATAGCACCACTGTCTGAGCCATCTGTTGATCGCCGTAATCTTGTCACATCTTTGTCGCCCTTCTCTAGGAACAGGCAGAATCCCACTGAAGATCACCTGAGCCTCGATTTCCTTAAGCATCTTCCCCAGACTGGCACAGTCTTCCTTGATACGTTCCAGCAAGAATCTAGCCGTATCATTTGTTCCCACATGGAGGACAATCAGCGGATTCTTTCCCGCTCCCATTAGGATCCTCTTCAGCCTCGGGTCCACATCCCGTATCTTAGCACCTGGCAGACAGCACACCCTTCTGTTCTCCGGATCAGCTCTGGTTACAGGCCTGTCTATTCTTCTCAGTAAGGAGTCCCCAATCATGTAGATCTGCCTTTTCCTGGTGACGGTGTGATTCTCCGGTCTATCCCCTGTTCCCTCTAGCTGCAAGTCCTCACGATTCCTGTTGTCCCTTGCAATCCTCTGCGACCCATCCCATATCCTCCTGGGGCTCATATTTGGTGTTATCTCCATTGACTCTTCCCCTCTTCCTATAGGACTAGCTGCTCTTCTCTTCTTCCTTGCCATCTCACCTTCAGCAACCACCTGTTGTGCCCCTTCATTTTCCAACTCCGCAAACCTGTTCCTGAGCTCTATTTCTCCTTCACTAGCCCGTCTTTTCCTCTGCCTGGTTCTCTTAGTCACATGCTTCCACTGTCCACTTTCCTCATCCAATAGTCTTCCCTCAGAGTTCTTTGGTCCTGCTTCCATCTGCAAGTCCGAGCTTTTCCCTTCAGCCTCCTCATGTCATTGCTCCATCATCTGCTCAAACCCCCTTCTAAACTCAACCAGAGTTTCCACCTGCATCTCCAATCCTCAGATCTTTTCTTCCATCAGCTCTATCAGGCGGCACTTCATGCAGATGAAACTCTTTTCAGGTACCCCCTCCAGGATCATGTACATGCTGCAGCTTTCACATCCAGTCATCTTCATTGTGTCTTCCACTGCTGCCTCTGTATCTGTCATAGCCTTCCCACCTAAAACCTGTTAGTCTGGGAAACACAAACCGAACCAAAACACCACCACCCACCAGGGCCGGCTCCAGCATTTCTGCCACCCCAAGCAAAAAAAAAAAAAAAAAAGCTGCGATCGGCGGCGGCAGTTCAGCGGCAGGTCCTTCGCTCCTAGAGGGAGTGAGGGACCTGCCGCCCCCGAATTGCTGCAGGTGCTGCCCCAAGCACCTGCTTGTTAAAGCTGGTGCCTGGAGCCGGCCCTGCCACCCACAGCAAAACAAACCCCCAACAGGCACCAGAACACCACCCACTCCCTTCACTAGCCTGTCTATTCCTAAGCCTAGCTCTCTTAGTCTTCCCCACAAACTCCCCTTGCAAACTCCCCCTGAAAATCCCCTGTTTACAGCTCTGTTTGCTGGCACCTGTGCCGCTGCAGCTTGTCTGGTGATCGTCAAGTCATATTTATTAGTTTTGAAAATATTTCAGATTTAATTATCTAAATTCTCATCAGCTACAGAGTTAAGGATTTTTAAGTTATTCATACCTTAAGAGTATCAATGCCAAATGGAAAGGTATTTTTTTGGAGTAATATTCAATTTGTTTCTTCTCATAGCTGGGTTTTTTTTTGGTTTTTTTTTTACCATGCCCATGAAATTACCCAGGCAATACCAGACTAATTACATCACTGAGGGTAGCAGAAAAGCATTAAAAGATACAATTCTGTAGATTAACAACATTAGAAAAACAACAGGTTGTCAATTCACCAAATTACTGGTGTGAATCCCTAGCTTTTGAATGAACTCCTTTTAAGTGCCTAAGGAAGCCCTGTAATTGATAGCATTAAGAAATTAACTGCAGGCATGCCTATGGACTGCTTCAAAGCACAAATTTATGTTTATTTTATATCAGAAATATGTTTCCTGAAAAAAAATGTTGC